GGGAAGCCCTGGCCCAGCATTAAAGGAACGGAGGGAGCCTGGCGGCGAGGTTGGGACCCTCAGGCGTTCCTGCGGCTGGATGGAAACTTCTGTTCCCACGAGTGTTTCCTGCTGAATCTCCATTGGCGGTCTGGCGGGAACGAGTAACTAAGATTCCGTAATGGCAAGGATGAAAACTTTGCATCATGAATGAACCCGACGAATTCATTATGAAAAGTCCCTAAACACGACGGCCTGGGTGCCGCACGGCGAGGAGGCGCTGGAAGGGGCCGCTCCGTTGCCATATGAGCGCGCAGTCTTCCCAGTTCAGGGAATGTTAGGCAAACGTGGTTTCAGGGGTGCCTCTGAGCATCAGTGCGAATGCACAGCGTGGCGTGAACACACGCTTCCCAGTGCCCCCCACGAATCCTTAGGGGGATTGATGGTGACAGAGCCTAGAATATGTACCAGTTTGTGAGCTTATTTGGGGATTATGTCCAATAAGCGCCATTTGTGAAACACTTAATTGCAACTAATGCATCTGAAGTCAGATGTAGTATGATTTATATTCAACGTAATCCAGTGCATGGTTAATTTAAAAAGAAACAAATTTATGACAAAGCTATAGATCAGTGGTTCTCAACCTTGGCTGCACATTAGAATCACCTGGGAATCTTTTTAAAATCCTGATTTCTGGGCCTCATCCTCCGGAAATTCTGTTTCTTTGTTACTAATGTTGTGGCCCCACCCCATAACAAAGATCTAAAAATCATCACTTAATTTCAAATTGAGTATCTAAACAGCAGTTCTCAACCTGTGGGTCGCGACCCCTTTGGCGGTCGAACGACCCTTTCACAGGGGTCGCCTAAGACCATCCTGCATATCAGATATTTACATGACGATTCATAACAGTAGCAACATTACAGTTATGAAGTAGCAACGAAAATAATTTTATGGTTGGGTCACAACATGAGGAATTGTATTTAAAGGGCCAGAAGGTTGAGAACCACTGACTAATAAATGATTACATAAATAACTATTGGGGTGAAATTTGTTTAGGCAGTTTTGTTTAGTTTTTTTATTACTATTTAGAGACACAAGAAGAAAGAGTATGACCTTGGGATTTGATGATTAGACAGTTATTAGTAAGTGGTAATGACATGAAGGATTTAAAGTGGATTTTTAAAAGTTCTTTTTCATACCCTGGCCAGTTTTGCTCAGTGGTTGGTGTGTCGGCCTGTGGACGGAAGGGTTGCAAGTTCGATTGCGGTCGGAAGCATGTACTTAAGTTGCAGGCTCCATCCCTGTAGGGATGCTGGCAGGAGGCAACCAGTTGGTGTGTCTCTCACATTGATTTTTCTCTCTGTCTCCCCCCACACCTTCCACTGTCTTTAAAAATCAACGAGAAAAATATCCTTGAGGATGAGGATTAACAACAAAAAATTTTTTTGTCCTATTCCAGCTATTGTTTTTAATAGTGTAAATTACAACGCAAGTAATTAAATGTATTTCCCATCCTAAGAAAAGCACCTTACATATAACAAACAACCGGGAGGACGATGTGCGATAAATGATTTATGTAACTAGTTGCCTTGCTTATGACTACCGGTAGGCGCATTTTAACAAAAACCCCAATTGCCCCTGGGCCCGGCTGTGTGGGACAGTGGTGCAGGTGCGTGGGAATGGGCTCCGTGGGAGGGAGGGCTGGGCGGGAGGGGCCTCCAGTTGCTGTTACAGCTTTGGAGCGGGATAGGCATTACAGTTCACACCCAGTGATGCGCTGGATCAAAATACACATAACTACCTACCTGGGGGTTGTCTTTTCTGTCTAAACACCTGTGCTCCTCAGAACTTGCCCATTTCATGTCTGTGCTCTCTGTAATGCTACACCTCCTGCAATGCAAATAGCACTCTTCCACGTTCTTTATCTCTTAGCTCCCTTTGGAGGAAAACCAGGAAGCGGGTTGCTCGGTAGAACAGGAGTAAGGCATTACCTCTCTACCAATACAGCTGTCTTGGCACTGAGACCGTTTCAAAGCACGTACATTTCTCGCTTGGATAATGACTGAGATGTCAACTGCCCTGACCTAGACAGCTACAGAAACACAATCTAACTTAAGTCTGAAAAATGATGCCTGTGATGACTGAGAGTATGGAGAAGGACTGCAGGATAATAGAAGCAGCATGGAAAACCCTTAAGAAAATTCAACTTAGAAAAATGTCATTTTGGCACCTCTATATTTTTTATGTGACCCCCTTTAACCTCTTCTTCCCCCTACCCTCCTTTCCACCTGGTAACCCCCATACTATTGTCTGTGTCAGTGAGGTTTGTTTATTTTCCTGTTTGTTCATTTGCTGTTTTCAGTTTTATATCCCAATATGAGTGACATCATATGGTCCTTGACTTTTTCTCTCTAATGTATTTCCCTTAGCGTGATATTCTGATGCTCCATCCATGTTGTCATAAGTGGCAGTATTTCATCTTTTCTGGTGGCTAAGTAGTATTTCATTGTTCATATGGATCATATCTTCTTTACCCAATCATCTATTGAGGGACACTTTGGTTGTGTTCATGTCTTGGTCACCTTGAATAATGCTGCCGTGAACATAGGAGTGCATATATCTTTGCAAATAAATGCTTTCAGAAATTTCTGGGAGATACTCAGGGATTCTGGGTGATGTGGTAATCCTATTCTTAATTTTTTAGGAACCTCCATACTGTTTCCCATGGTGACTGTACCAGTTTACATTCCCATCAACAGTGAATGAGAATCCCCTTTCTCCACAACCTCTCCAACACTTGTCACTGAATTGTTGGTAGCAGCCGGTCCAGCCGGTGTGAGGGGGTCTCATTGTGGTTTTGATTTGCATTTCCCCAACAGCTAGTGATGTTGAGCATCTTCGCATGTCTCTGTTGGCCTTTGTGTGTCTTCTTGGGAGAAATGGCTGTTTAGAGCCTCTGCCCATTTTTTAAACTGGATTTTAAATTTTTGTTGTTAAGTTATATGAGTTCTTTATTTTGACATTAACTCCTTATTGGAAGTGGATGTTGTGTGAAAATATCTTCTCCCATTCTGTTGGTTGGCCTCTATTAAAAATATATCTCACCCTTTAAAAAAAAATAGCAATTCTTTGTATTTTCATTTCTTAAATTTTATTTTTTTGGGTCTTTTTAAAAAATGTGTTTAACAATTTTTTTAGTGATGTTTGTGGTCCAGTGTCAGATGTTAAAGTGAATGGGTAGCCCCGGCCAGTGTGGCTCAAATGGTTGGAGCATCCTCTCATACACCAAGAGGGGGCGGGTCTGATTCCCAGTCAGGGCTCTTACGGGAGGCACCCTATCGCTGTTTCTCCCTCTTTCATCCATAAAAAATAAAACAAAACCGTTATTTAAAAAATAAATTAATAAAATAAGGTGCATGCATATGTGTACAACAATGTTGCCAGTATTGAACTTCAAAGTCAACGTCTTCTTCTTCTTTAAAAAGATTTTGATTTAAAATAACACAATAACTGGAACATGGTCTCCTCTGTACCTTGTTTAACTTAACCTCTCCTAGAAGACTTACATGTCTGCATGTACAGATCTACCCCCTGATAATTCCTGCCTAGTCTTTCATTTTATGGATGTACATAAATTATGCAAATACTCTCCAATAAATGAGCCTTCAGTAAGTTTACAGACAATTGTTATCATCAGGAATGTTTGTGTCTATATAATTTTATTTGCATATGTTAGCATATATGTAAAGTAAGAACCTTATTACAGTGTCTGGGTAGGTTTTCTGGATGAAGCCTTTGTAAGATTTTGAATTTTGCCAAGTATTTCCGGTTGTCCTAAAGTAAACCACACTCTTCTACACTCCTGTCTACCACCACAAGGTAGCAGAGACCTGCCCTGCCCCTCTGGGCTGAAAGATTACAGAAAGACATCCCCTGGAGCACCCACTGGGTCTCCCCTCTCCTTTACTCCTGCTCCCCAGCCCCAGCTCCATGCCTTCAAGCAGGCCCAGCTGCACAGCTGTCCTTGGAGGCTCTGACCTCCTGCAGTGTTTGTAGGACTGCCCATTCCCCCTTGTGTCCTCTAAAGTTTTATTTTTGCCTTGTGATAGGTGAAAGAACAGGGTATTTTAATTTGTGAAATGAATTTATGAAGGAAAGCCTCTCACTTCTCCTAACACATTACTTTCATGAAAGCAGATCCAACCATTGAGCACCTATTGTGTGCCCATCCTGCTCCAGGTGCAAGGGATACATGAGTGAGAAACACACACACACACACACACACACACACACACACACACACACAAAATGCCTGCCATCATGAATGGGCA